AGCCATTTAAAAAGAGGATTTAAGGCCTGAACGCAGAGAACTCAGCCCCAGGTACTAATGACCTTGCTTTGGCTAGCAAGACTGAGCCTGAGGCCCGTGGCACTAATAGGGTTACCGGGTACCCAGACGGGCAAATGCCTGTTGATTGAATGGTTAAATGGTGAAGAAAGCAAAGCTTACCTGTGCAACGTGTCCATACCTTGATTCCTACTTCCTGAATCAACAGTGCCTTTTATTGTTCTGCCCAACTGTTAAGATATCCCACCTGTGCCTGCTCTTTGGCGCAGTACTCCAGGCTAGAGACCAACATTTCTCACACCTGGCCGCACATTAGAGTCATCTGGGGATCTTTTAAAACTCCGGCTGCCTTGGTTGCACATCTGATCAATTAGAGCAGACTCTGGTAGGGAGGAGTATAGACATCAGCCTTGATTGAAGCTCCTGAGATCATTCCGATGTGCAGTCAGGATTGAGAACAGCTGGTCTACACCAGTTCCTCTTGAAGTATGGTCTGTAAGTCACAGCTGCAGAATCTCCTCAGATGTTTGTGGAAAACGCAGATTGCTGGGTTCACCAGCCCTATAGGCCCTGAGTCTCAAGGTGGGATCTGGACAATGTGTTTTAATAAGCTCCCCCGGTGATTCCTAAGCTTTTTGCTTGTCCCCCTGCTTCTTATGATGTGGCCATTCTTGCTTCCCATCAGTTATCCTAGTCTTTCAGTTCCTCAGAGATATCAAGTTTCATTCATCCTCAGGACCATTGCAGATGATAGTCGCTCTACTTGGAAGACATTTTCCTCTTTCTCCTTGTTATTAGGCATTTGGCAGAGTCAACAATGATGATATTGTAACCCCAGTAAGTCATTGCAAAGTACATGTTTTGGGAGTTAAGAGTAGACACTGGAAGGCCTTGGGATAGTAATGGTTTACTATTTGATAAGTTCCCTAACTGTCACTGGAAGTCATAGAGAGATTGCTCCAGGGACGGTGAGAGAAAAACCAGTCTCACATAGGCGAATGTGAGGGATAAGAGGGAAGACTTGAGTGACGTGGCACAAACTGGGTCAGATCCATTAAAAAGCCAGCCCTGGGCAGCTGGCAAGAGATCATGTCAAGAGACACCATGCAGGTGCCAGCAGGACCAGAAGATCAGATTCTCAGAGCGAGGGCCACCTGGAAGAGGGAAACCAAGGGAAGGGGCACAGCAAAGGGCAGAGCTGGGTGGTGGAAAGATGTGCTCAGAGGGAAGAGCCACTCCGGCCACCTCAAGTGAATACTGATGATGGGGAAACGTTCGTGGAAATTCACTCTCTTGAGTCCAGTGTGAGTGAGAAAGTGTAATTTAATCTAAAGGAGTCTAATTTAGCCTTCCATCAACTGTAGATCTTTAACGAGACCTCTATTCTTCTAGGACGGTGTTTCTCAAGCTTTATGTATGTAGGAATATTATTAAAATGCAGATTCTGATTCAGTACGTCTGGGGTAAGGGCTGAGATTCAGCACTTCTGACTGGCTCCTAGATGCCCCTGTCTGAGCACTACACTTAGAGCAAGGAGGTTTGAACAATGGGGCTTATAACAGTGGAGCCATGATGTGGACAAGTCCAGAAATGACGGCTGAGTCATCAGTTTTTATGTTAGCTTCCACATACCTTTAGAATTAAGTGTTTGTGTGCATTCTAATTCTCTACATGATGTATGATAGAGTTCCACTAACCAAAATATATGTTTAAATGGAACTCTCCAATTCCAACTTGCCAAATAACATAAAAAATTCCTGTCATTTTACTGACCTGTCTCTGAGTTGCTAATGATGACCTGCAACATTGACTAGGTTACCTGTTTTTGTCCCTGACCTAAGGTGGGTTATTAAATGTGTGTAGATGTTAGGAACATGAGAAAACATTTACACAGTTTTCTTTTTGTCACCCATTCACAGGCTCAGTTGGTAAACTCCGTCTTTCGGAAATAGGGAGAAAGCATACTGAGTAAGAGCCCTCTTTGACAGCTTAAAATTTAATTACAGGAATTTTATTGGGAAACTGTCAAAGTGACTAGATTTCATAAGAGGATCGGTCAATGCCTCTAACTTGTTCTGAGCATCAGCTCTGCTTTCTGGATCATGAAATTGGCATGAACGTACTGGGCAAAACAATGCCGAGTTCGCCAAGATAGCACTGCTGGCATTTACTGCAAGCCCATCTGCACACTGGGTGGGACAAAGAACAGAGGTCAGTGACAATAGGTATAGTAAATGTAAGGAAGATGGGCCCAGGGCTCATCCCAAGGACTGAGAGCACATGGAAATGTCTCGTGCTTTAAGCTTCAGTCTGAAATAGGTTGGTCTAAGGCAGGCTGAGAGTTTACCCAGTCTTTATAATGGAGATCACAACTGTGCTCCCAGGGACAGACTAGGGCTGTGTGTGTGTGTGTGTGTGTGTGTGTGTGTGTGTGTGTGTGAGAATGTGAGTCTAGGTGAACAAAATCACTAAGGTGACTGAGACTTTGAAAGGTCATTTAATCCAATGCATTGCATCAGACCAGCCCTGATGTCATAATTTCCAGACAGACAGGAATCCATTCTGTTCTAAATACTCTGCAGGTAAGTCTATTTCACAACTTATCTCATAATTACCTCTTTCTGTTCAGCATTTCCTATGTTCAGGAAACATTTGTTTATGATGACTATAAATCAATTTTTTTTAAAGTTATGAAGCTCTTATTAAAAATCTAGAAATGTGCCTGGCTCTCTAGGAAACATCTGCTTGAGTAAGGCCCTGTCCCTGCTCACTTCTCATTCATCACAACTGAGTTCTTCCACAAACTTTGGTTGATCCTTCACTCGAATTCATTCTTTCCCTGCGCTCCTGTGATATTTAATTTAGAAATGTATTGCATTGATCACATTCTGCTTTTTATTATGGTTTATGTGTGCCTGCATGCTGGTTAACATGCTTCTTTAGACATCAAACAGAGAAGTTGGGATTGGCTAGAGCATCTGTCCCAGCTTACGGTTTTTAATAAAATAATTTGAGGAAACAAGAGGATCCATGTCTGACTACCCAATGTGCAATATTTTTGCTAAAGCAGGAACTTGATAAGTACCTGTTGAATTAAAATTAACAGAATGTGCTCAAGAAGTGGGTATAATATTATTCATTGTGGCCTTATTTTGGGGACAAAAGATAAAACGACTTAAATATCTATTTAGAGGCCACTGGTTCAATGGAGTTTGCTATGCCTATATAGTAGAAGACCGTGTACCTGTTGGAAAGATTGAAGCGGGTCTGTATGTACCAATGTGAAACAACCTTCAAGACACGGTATTAAGTTAAAAAAATGGAATACAGAGTGATGTTTATGGTATGCTAATATTTGTCATAAAACAGATGTATGGGTGTGATATGTGCACAGAATATTTCTAGGATACAAAAGAACTTGGTAACAGTGGTTGCTGATTAGGATGGAAATTTCAGTGCCGTCTAATACAAATAGAAAGAAACAATATCTATAGCCTCTTGATGTGTTGGGAAGACAGTGACCCCTAAGTATAGAAGGTGCAGGAGTGTTTAGGCCAGGAAAGAGCTACCTCCAAGAAGAAGTTGCTGGTAAAACCTGGACACAGAGCTTAGGCACAAAAGCCCAGCTTCCTAGCTGCTGTGTGGGTGGGACCTCTGCAGGTCCAAGCGTGACCATGCCAAATCGATAGCCAACTTCTCTGTCATAGCAGCCCAACTGAGGAAGTTGGCTGCCTCAGAACTCCTCTGCATCCCCCCCACCGCCACCCCACTTCTTCCCAAGTAAGGCCCCACCAAGCTGGAGAGGAGACCTCGGGCACTGCTAATTCCAAAGATTCCACCTCAACTCAGTCTAGACATTGTTTTGCACCAATCTCTAAGTCTGACTTTGGTTTATGATTGGGTTGGGGCTCAGAAAAAAACGAAACCCCACGGTGTGGCACTTTGGTATGCAGAGTACTTCGAACTAAAGGAGACTGGAAAGCCTCCAAGGTAACCTCAGCAACAAGGTCTCCCTCTCTGACCTTCTCCTGCCCTCCTGTCTCCTGCCCTTCTTTCTCCCCTGAAGCAACCCATGGAAAGCAGAATTCCTCTTTCTCAAGGAGGGTCATAGAAACTAGAACCCCTTTTCCCCAAAGCAAGTCATAAAACCCTAGAAAAATTACTCTAACCTTTCCCTCCCTTTCTGTGCAGACAGTGGCAGTGGCGGTAAAGAAATTCTCTGGCCCACCTTGCCTGATAGTAGATAATAAGACCCTCGTTCCAGGGGGGGTCCTGCCCTGATCCCTGGAGGAAAAAATGCTACAGACTGCGGCCAAGAAGAATTAGAACAGACAAGCCTTGCTGGGCTTCCCCTTCCATTTATTAGCCTTGAATCACAGCCTTTTGCCCAATCACGTTTCTGCATGGCCGTTCATTCTGCATTAAGTCTAAGCACAAAAATGAACAGTTTTCTTTGGATCTTTGGGTTTCATTTCTAAAAGCTCCTGTGTCACGTAAAACTTTGATGAAAGAAATTTGTTATCCTTTTCTCTTGTTAACTGATCTTTCGTCGTAGTATTGGCCGTGATTATTATGATAGGTGAGGAAAGGTATCACACCTCTACACTCCTCCAAGTTCAGTGTATTTCTGAGTTTGGCTCTCAGCTTTAATTTTATTCCCTGCTTTACCTCATGGAAGTTTATTCTTCAGTTTTTAGCTAAACTATTTCTCCTCAGACTGTTTCCTGTCATAAATTCATGTCTCACCCTGCCCTTCTTTTTATCACTTGTCACATCTGTTATTTTAATTGTTTAACTTCTGTCTTTCCAAAGACAGGCAACAGTTGAACACGGTGCCTGTTTAATTCATAGGCACATTGCTAAAACCTTGCACCATGCCTAGCACATATTAGGCACTTGAACATGTTGGTGGAATGAATGAATGAATGATTTATAGCACACCGTTAGCAAACTTTCAAAAGAAAACATCCAGAGACACCTAATATAGGGAACATTTTATTTGGAAAGATTTTGAGCATCATTCTCTTTTCATTTTTTATTAAGGCAGTAACATTCTTTTTTCCCGGAGGTGGATGGGGGAAACCATTTGAGGCTACAGTAAGTCCAATCTGAAGTCAAAACCAACCACTTTGCATTCAGAAGCAGCAAAAATACTGGTGATGGGCTGGGAGGAGCCATATGTTGGCTTTCTGAGTCCACTGCCAAGGAACAGATCCAGAGCAATGCATTTCAATTGCTTTGAAAAATGGCTAAGTTCCATTACATACCACTACTAAAGAAGACACCTCATTGATGAAGCCTTTCACCATGATAGAGGGAGTCTAGTGCTGGTTCACAATGGCCTGTTGCGTTTTAGCCTTCAGTTGGTTTAGAGGGAAATTGCTTAACCTATGAGAGTTGCTCAAATTCATATTGTTCTTGTTTTGCTTTGGAATTCTTTGTCCAGTAAATTAGCTCTTCATAACACAATCCCGCCATTTCTTATCCAGCATAGATTCATTCTACCCTTGACAGCTGGCCAGGTGTGTGTGTATGTGCATAGGGGTGCTATTCATTGGCACATATTGTCCCCTCTGGAGTTTAGGGGTGGCAGAAAGCTTTTATAGTACCAAAAAAGTAAACATTGATAATATGGCCTGACAACAACCAGATATGCTAAGCTCTAGAAGCAAAAGCAAGGCAGGATTGCCTCCAAATGTGGACAGATATTAGCCATACCACAGTAACTAGAATCTAATGTGAGGGCTGAATGCCTGGAGAGGCAGCACCCTAAAGGATGCTTAGTTACAGCTCCATGCTGCCCCCGAGTGGCTTGATGCTCCATTACACCCTCCTTGGATCCAACCTTCCATTAAGGCTCTGGAGGGCAGAGTATTCAAGATGTTAGATCTAGTCCAAGCCCAAATTCTAGAGTTAAAAACAGAGGGGTTCTTAGTGGCTGAAAAAAAAACAACCTGATGATATTTGGGAGTCCAGTTTTGAGGAAAGGTTCTGATGAGGAGGCTTACTTCTACAGGCTACCAGAGACTCCTGAGACTTCAACAGCTTGACTGATTTATCAGACGCTCCAAGTGGCCCAGAGACAAGGATGGCCAGAAGAGATGGGGCCTCCAGAAGGCATGGTTCCAAGTGCGTGAGGAGCAAAGTCATGGGACGCAGGGTACGAAGAAGGGACAGAAAGAGGGGCTTGCAACAGATCAAAGGCTGACCTCCAGGAACAGGGTTTAGAGCAGGTGTGATGATTCCCCTCCTGGCCCTCATCTTGAACAAAGAAAAGGGAAGCCACATGAAGCGGGTTTGAAAGATTACATCAAAATTAATATCACTGCAGCTTCTATCCTCGACTAATGGCAAAAGCGAGAAGGGTACTTGGAAAATAACTTCTTTCTTTTCCTCTAGATTTTCAAAGAAGCAAATAAATCAAGAATAGAGACCTATATATAGGAGGTTGCGCCTCCTGCCAAGAATGAAGCACTTTTTGTTAAATACAGGAGAGGCTACTTGGCTGCACTAGTATGTGCTTTTTGGAATCTTGTAGAATGTCACCAAGGTGAACTTTGGAATGGCTTGAATCATCCCGGAAGCATCTGTGCTGGGCAGTCAGGAGTGAGTGCACCGCCTCCCACCCGGCCCCACCGGGCCTCACACCCTCTTCATTCCTTTCCCCATAAGGCAGGCAAACACGGTCATGACCATTTTGGGGTTCACTTCAACCAGGTCTTCTGGTAGGGCATACACTCTTGCTCCAATTTTTCGGGCCATGGAGATGGCATACCTAAAAGGGAGAAAAGAGGAAAAATAAGGAGAGCCTAAGAAGCACAGCATGAATGGGACCCTGGAGGGTCACAGTCACAGTCGCTCCATACTCAGGACAGAACTCACTCCTGCAGTGGCTGGAGTCAGTCACCAGCATCCTCACACTTTTGTGGACAAATTTTGGCTCAACCAAAGCTTCTGACAAAGCATCAGACTTGCTGGCTAGTCTCGTGATCACTATCAAGTGTATTATTTGTCCTTGGAGATCTCTTCAGCTCCTGCCTTTTTTTTTTTAAGTTTTTTTTTTTTTTTTGTAGAGACAGGGATCTTACTATGTTGCCCAGGCTGGGCTTGAACTCCTGGCCTCAACAGAACCTCTTGCCTCAGCCTCCCAAAGCACTGGGATTACAGGCGTGAGCCACTACACCTGGCACATGCTGCCACTTTTGATACCCACACCAGGAGTATTCTCTTGGGCTACACAGCAGCATGGCAGAAAGAGTCACAGAACTGAATAAAAATGTGTGCTAGGAAAAGTTTGCAGACTACATTTCAACTACAGTAACATTTTTACAAGGAACAAAAGAGGAAAAATGTGTTTATAATATCGTGACCTTGGCCGGGCGTGGTGGCTCACACCTGTAATCCCAACACTTTGGGTAGCTGGGGTGGGTGGATCATGAGGTCAGGAGATCGAGACTATCCTGGCTAACATGGTGAAACCCCGTCTCTACTAAAAATACAAAAAATTAGCCAGGTGTGGTGGCATGTGCCTTTAGTCCCAGCTACTCAGGAGGCTGAGGCAGGAGAATTGCTTGAACCTGGGAGGTGGAGGCTGCAGTGAGCCGAGATCGTGCCACCGCACTCCAGCCTGACGACAGAGCGAGACTCCGTCTCAAACAACAACAACAACAACAACAAACAAACAAAGAAAAAAACTCCTGGCCTTCCACATCAATTTTTTTATTCTTTGTTCCATTCCAATTCTTGCCAACATATATTTGTACTTATGTATGGCACTGCAATATAGAGTAGCCAGAGACTTATATTCCATATTTTCACATGGAATGATGATAGCTGCATCAGAACATTTTTGCTCTGTTTGTAGATATATGAAGATAAATTTGATTAATTATAATCTATTTTCAAATGAGCTCACACTACTACCTGGCAGTTCTTTTATTCACCTCATTTATTATCTAGTGACCTCTTACTGTGGTTACACCAGATACTTCACTGTACCCAAACCCACGTTTACTACCTCCTGCTCTCCTCAAATTACTTTACTTTTACTTTATTGATCAAATTAAATTAAGAGCATCAGGCAGAAGTAGACCCATTTTTTCTCCTTGTCTATCTCTCAATAACTTCTTCTATATTAATTATTAATGAAGTAAAATTAATTCTTCCCCATTATAAAACACAGAAGGAAAATTGTCTGAAAACTAGAAAGGAGCTTAAAACAAAATCACACACAATCTTGCCACCATAACATAACCGTTCTTCACATTTTGTGTAATTTCTTTCACCCCTTTTCCTAAATAATTTTGTATCTTGCCCTCACAGGAGAGTGCTTACGAGTCTGGGCTCTGAAGTTGGACTTTGAATCTCAGCTGCACAACTGAAAAATTGTATGGCCTTGGCAAGTTTCTTAAACCTAATCACATTCCCCTTGAACATCTGGGCTGAAGACTTTTTACAATTTCTGGGTCTTCATATGTGTTTTTCCTTCTGCCCGGAACATTCTTCCTCGCTCCTTCACCTGTCTACTTCCTTCCTACTTGTCTTTTTCAATTGAGCTCAGCTGAGCTGCTATTTGCTCTAAAGAGCTATAGTCCCCTTCCTGTCCCTTCAGGGATGCCTCATACTGTCCCTTCCACACCTCTCATCACAATCTATTGTGATTTTAGTTTATTTCTCTCCGTTAGATTGTGTTAAACGTCGGCATCCCGGGAGCACAGGTTCCCACTTTCCCAAACTGGAAACAGAAAGAAGGGCTGTGTTGAGACTATAAAGCAGGGATGCTGGGCACTAGATCCTTGTCACTTCTAGACCTGTGCTATGAGCTGAATTGTGTCTCTTTGAAATTCATAGGCTGGAGTCAACCCCCAGCACCTCAGAGTGTGACCCTGTTTGGACAGAGGGTTGCTGCAGTTGTAAATAGTTAAGATGAGGTCATGCTGGAGTTGGGTGGGACCTTAATCCAATAGGACTGGTGTCCTTCTAAGAAAAGAAGCATCACAGAGAAACGCAAAGGGGGAAGACAGCCGTGTGAAGTCACAGACACGCAGGAAGAATGCCATGTGAAGACGGAGGCAAAGACTGGCATGGGACAGATTCTCCCTCAGAAGAAACCAATCCTGCCAACATCTGGATTGCAAACCTTTAGCTCCTATAACTGTGAGAGAAGAAACTTCTGCCGCCCAGTTTGTCTAGTACTTTGTTGTGGCAGCCCAAGGAAACTAACAGAACCTGATCTGAGAAAAGCATCTGTCTGGAGCAGAAGTTCATCAGCTTTTTTTGCAGAAGACTAGATAGTAAACATCTTAGACTTCGTTGTAACTACGCAACTCTGCTGTTGTAGCAGGGAAGCAGCTCTAGACAAGATGTAAAGGAATAGGCTGTGTTTCAATAAAACTTTATTTAGAAAAGCAGACAACAGGGCAGATCTGGCTCAGAAACTGTAATATGCTGACACTCACTCTAGAGGAATCATCTGGCAGATGACCTGAATGGTAAAGGACAAGACAGTGGCTCTCACACTGGCAAAGGCTCTGCTGTGGAACCCTAGCCCTGGGCATTCTTATCCATAAATATTCATGAATGGGGCATTTGGTTAGGAAATTGGTTTTATGGAACTATAGGCTTGCTTATCAATGACAAGCATACTCATTATTATTTTTTTTTTGTCTTGCTTCCATTCTGGCACTAGGAGCTTAAAACTACTATTGTACCATATCCAAAATAGTGATGATCAGACTATAGTAAGTCCTGAGAAGGAAAGGCATGGATAGTGAAAACGAAATGTTTGCATAAAGGCATGAGCATTAGACTTCACAACCATCCAGCTGCCAGTTGGGTCCTTCCCTCCCGATCTTAGGTTTATTTCCATTTACGTACTTTGCATTGTTGAGTTTCTCATCATCATTCAGATTTTCTGTCTTCAGAAGGTCATAGTTAATGGAACCTGGTTGGATGGCATCGATGAGGTCCAGAACGGGCAGACTTGTACTAATCTTTGGGTCCTACACAGAGAGAAAGGGAGGGGTTCATCAGCGTGTCCCAAAGTTACTCCCATTCAGCTCAAAGGAAGTGGGTGGCTTTTTCTTCTTAAATAAGCACTATACACAGCCTGGTCTGGGAAATGCAGCAGTATTCCACATAGTGTTTCATATAAACTGTAGTTTCTGTAGCGGCATCAGGAACTTCCCAGAAAACCCACTGTCTACCAACAGCCGGTAGTCGTTCTCAGATAATAAAAGGAAGGAAGTTAGCACAACTAGAGAAAGACATAAAGTTAAAAAGAGTGGATTGTGTCAACCATATGAAAAAATGCTCGGCATCACTAATCATTACAGAAATGAGGACCAAAACCACAATGAGATACCACTGCACACCATTCAGAAGGGCTATTACTAAAAAGTCAAAAAATAACAGATATCGGTGAGGTTGTGAATGATTGTACACTGTTGGTGGGAATGTAAATTAGTTCAGCCCCTGTGGAAAGCAGTTTGGAGATTTCTCAAAGAACCAAAAATAAAATTACCATTTGAACCAGCAATCCCAATACTGGGTACATACTCAAAGGAAAATAAATTATTCTTCCAAAAAGACACCTGCATGCTCATGTTCATCACAGCACTATTCATAATAGCAAAGATATGGAATCAACCCAGGTGCCCATCAACGATGGACTAGATAGAGAAAATGTGGTGCATATACATCACGGAATACTATGGAGCCATAACAAAGGATAAAATATGCAGCCATAAAAAAGAATAAAATCATGTCATTTGCAGCAACATGGATGCAACTGGAGGCCATTACCCTAAGTGAATTAACACAGTAACAGAAAACCAAATACTGCATCTATTCACTTATAAGAGGAAGCTAAACACTGGGTATATATGGACATAAAGGTAGGAAAAACAGACACTGATGAATAAAAGCAGTGGGAGGGTGGAAGTGGGTTAAAGGTGAAAAACTACCTGTTCAGCACTACGCTCACTATTTGAGTGACTGGTTCAATAGAAGCCCAAACCTCAGCATCACACAATATACCCTTGCAACAAACCTGCAAATGTACTCTCTGAATCTATTTTTTTTTTAAAGAGTGGGTTGTGTTCATTTTTTAAAGGACTTCACATAAAAGGAATGAGGGGCTAGTATGACATTTCTTTCAGTACACTATGTGGCCTCTTTTACTTAACCAATTCTGCAACGACTTACTAAGAAGACAGGAGAAAATGAGGCCCGAGTGTTAACAAGGAGCAAAAGAATTGCCAAACCTGTCTGAGAGTGAACCCCAGCATGGCTTACCAAATCTTGTCCCCATAAGAACACCCCAGAAGCCACAGCCTAATGTAATGGGCTGGAGCAGCAGCTATTTTAGGAAGAGAAGCACCCCTGGGCTATGTAACTGGCCTCTTCATATTAACAGCTAAGCTGCCTATAGATACACTACACTCTACAGCCTCACCCCACAGGTAAAAGGCATTTTCCTCCCATTTGTGGATCATCACATACAATTACTAGCCATACTCTCAGGAAGTTACTCAAGCTTTGATGTCCTCACCTATAAAATGAGGAAAACAGTAAAGCCAGCTTTACAGTGTCAGTGAAGACACCCTGAGACATGAACAAGGAGCCCCTGGTAGCCTGAGCACATTCAATATTTAGAGCTCCTTTCGACTTTGCTTTTCTTTACTGCCTTTCCAAATCTCCTTCTGGAAGAATCTGCTTGCATCAGTGACCAGCATCCACTCCTGACTGCTCAGCTCTCCAGACTGAACAGTAGGCTGGAGATGGAGCAGAGGTGACGGTGATGAGCTCACAGCAGGTGGACACTCCTGCGACAGCCCTGCCGTGACAATATCTTCTGGTACTGCTTGTGGAAAGAGATTTGCATTTTTTCTTGATTTTGAAACGCAGGATGCATATCATGATGAACCGCCTCACCAACCCTGTTAATACAAGTCTGAAGGGGTTCCTCCCCCTAATCCTGACCTTTAAGCGGGAAAAATGTAGTTAAGACGGCCCAAGCATTATGGTGATGTGGATCGAGTGCACGGGTCCCTTGAGGAGGAATCCAGTTAATGTATGAAACATGAGTCAAGACATTTAATGAAATGCTGCTATTAATAAAAATGGGATTTAGATAGAAGTACACAACTGCTTTTTTACAAAAAAAAAAAATCACAAGGGAGATCTTTGAGCATTTTATATGTCACCATTATAATGTTAATCTGAATCATGGAGGTGCCCACATTTTACGAATACTATCATAGTTTATATTACTTTGAAAGAACAATACCTAAAATCTTGCTTCTAAAATCATGGAACTAAGCACTGAGTACACATGGACATAAAGATGGGAATAGGCCAGGCATGGTGGCTCACGCCTGTAGTCC